ACAGCTTTATGTTCCAATCCGAAACAACGCAGTGTATTCTCCAATGCGTGTGTATGTCTGCGCTGTGCGGTATCCCATTTGCGTGTATGTATACGAATCCATTGATAGGAAATGAAATTATGAGTGGGTAATATGCATCTTCAATCAAATAAATACTCAGTCTGGCTAAACAAATACATTAATCGTGATAGTAATGGGTTTTTTTCGGCACAAAAGGCTGAGAACCATTCTGAATTAATTGTAGCGAACGTTATCGTTGGTTCGATTACCGTATAACAGCTACCCGAATCCTTGGTATAAGACTGTGAAATAATACGTTAGAACTTTAGAACTATCAGAACCTTACTTTAAAGTGTCGCAGTCAGCTCAGCGCGTCGTGTTCAAATGGTGGGTCCCATGCACCATATACAACGTGCGTAAAATACATTGTTTGTTTACACAAACTTCAAACGCGTTGTACAACAACGTAGTAAGCGAAGCAACTCAACAACGTGGCACTCTAAATCGCCTACATTGTAATATAATATTCTTTGTGCTTAATCAGAAGACATTTGCTGAAATTGGGATATGTCTTAAAGAATCGAGAATGCTTGTTTTCACATTAGTGTTACGGAGAAATCTGTTAAAGTTACGCACGGGGCGTGCAAACTGTCCTATGCCATATCTATGCATGACCGCGCTGTAACCACAGGCCCATAGCAACGTAGTTGTTGTCTACAATTAATTGTACGCCAACCCAGTAGATAAATGTAGTGATTAACGTTAGGTGCACGGGTGGTCGTACATGGATGGGCACCTCATTGTTGATGCGGATTTAACATGCCCAAGTTGTCTATACAAAGGAATAAAAACGTTCTTATTACACGTATTAGCCAGTGGGTCAGGGAAATCCCATTTGACCTAACACCAGTACACGCCATCAATCAACCCACTGTTTGTAACAATCGCAGTAAGTGAACACAATATAGTAGTCGAGATTACCGATCCAAAGTTATTGGTTAATAAATACATTTACAGTGTGGTGTTGACAATTCAATAAAACACTCAATAAATTAAATAGAATGTATACAATGAGCCTCCCATGCACATCGCAATGTTATTGTGACTTCATTTCACACTTCCTCAGTAAAACGTCACGTCAGATTCATGGCAAACACTTTGTGAATGTATCTGCGATATTCATTGAATAAAAGATTACTTCGATAATCGCATTTCAAAATATGCAAATATAGTTGATAGTCGATGTCATTATTGCACACACAAATTACGTAACGTTTTACCTCGTACCATGAAGGATTGTGATAGGTAAGCTACGATGAAACGTATGTACTTATTTGTCACTGGAGACGTCGTGTGTTTTCCCCGACTTTAAATTTTTTTATCGGCATGTTAGTATAATTAACAGTAATTAAATGATGAATGGATATGCAAAGTGTTCTGTTAACACGCATTGAACACTGAATACGTCAGTTTATGGAACATGTTAAGTTCAGAGAGGAAGATTTGTTGATGTCTAATTTAAAATTTGACATTAAAAACAGAAAAACCTTACTTGGTTAAAAATGTTATTATTTATTACTGTTCTCGGTTTTGAAAAAAAAAATGTATTCCAAAATAGTATATTTTCATTTGGCATATTTTATAGATTGCATCATATTTTTTCTATAGCGTTTATTGAACCTGTTTGAACGACATGCTTACATCAGGAGATGCATATCTTTTTTCACTAACTACTATAATAACATTTGTATATAAACAATGCAAGTCGTTTCCATAACTGAATGTAATAGATACATACTATATTTGCCTTGAAAGATCAAGGTTAAATCATCTGTGTTCATCAGTTTCCTTGTAACTAAGTTTGTGGATGCCATGTATATGCCCATGGGCTGCGCGCACCGTCACAGTACACTGCCGTGCCTTCGTCGTGTTCAAACAACTAAATGAGTGGGATACGGACATTTTCTCTTTGTCCCCCGTTTTTCAATCTACGTTTTACTACAACATATTTGCTCCAAAAAATCAGTATATTTCAAAATCAAATTTATGCTATTTCGCATGGCATTAAAACACGTATTGTTGTAGCCATTGTTTGGCACTGTTGCTAGTATTTACTGCTGTTGTAACAAGGAGATTAAATTTGACCTGGGAAACATGCATGGAATCGTGTAGAAATAACCAACAATTACACACAAATTCCGTTACAATGCAGCTCCCACGCTCCGACCCCCCCTCAACAAATCAACTACCGAGCGAATACCATCAAGAGCATAACTGACCTGTTAAGGTCAGCCAATATATGAGTCATGGTGACCTGCCAATGCATTACCATACCATAACTATACTCTGAAATAGAACTATACCCAGGACTTTAAACCATCTCGAATAATTGACGTCACTCCGAGAGCAAAAAATACGTTTATCTCCTAGTCGCCGAGTGGTGTTAATAAGCAAAATAAATTGCCAACCCATTGCTCAGGGTTTTTTATCGAGCGACAAAAAAAAGCTTGCAAATGTGAACAATAAACACTGTACTTTATTGAACACTCTTTTAGCATTAACGTCTCCCCAAACCACTGTCCTAGTCATGTAATCGAACAAATATAACATATGTTAGCATCATGTGGTGCCCCAAGGGGCCAATTATTGGGTATATGCACCGATGCGCTCTAATATGAAATTGTTAATCAGTTCGACGATAACACGGTGCTTTCCACGCAGAGCTTGAAGGTCATATGGGTACAATAATATGACATTCGAGAACATTGCCGTGAAGTCTTTGTTATTCTACCAGTGTTTATGTGGTAGTTTGTAGACGGCCTTCACTATACCACAAAGGCCCGATACATGGTTGACAACTACTGAGTTCACTTCGTTTATATACTCACATTTAACCGGCTCTTCACCGTCAACAACACATACAAGCCACACTAAGAGAAATGCTGAAATCACGACGATATTCATGCTGTGGTGGGTAGCAGTGGATCGTACGGTGGCTATCCTAATGACTACCCTCGTTAGTGACCCTTTCTTCTCTGTCAGCGGTAGAGAGCACAATGTTCGATGGCGGTCATCAGTTGTTGCGAGACGTGAACCGAGATCGCCACAACACAGCGTCATTTACATATGTATAAGATGATCATTGTACAACTTAATAATATGACGTACAGCCCGAGGTAACGACAATGAAAACTGGCTTGTCCGTGACCCAACTCGGAGACAATTCATCCATTCGGCTTCGTCTATCTTTAAACACCGATGCAATGAATTTGATTTGGACTTAACGTTTCTTTCATTACATGATACATGGATATACATTTTTGCGCATGCGCTCTCAAGGTGCGAACACCTGTGTGATGGGATTAGAGGAAACTTGAATCTATTTGATATACTAGTATTTTACACAACAATTACACACATAAAAACCAACCCATGCTGACCTATGTAAGAAATATGAGGTTTGTTCGATTCATTCAGTACATGTACAGTATTAGTGTAGCCTGCCAAACGAGTAAGAGTGACCCAATCCTATGGCATCCACGCTTCTTACCGCAGCAAAGGCATCAAATGTTATCGGAAATATAACTAGCCGATCTTGATGTCTATTTAGGATTCTGCATGCAAATAATTTAGCCAATCATAGTACGTCAATTTTAGCGAATAAAACTACTTCATTAATAGTTATTTACCAATCAGCTCGTTTCCCAATCATATGCAAGGCCAAAGTCACTTTCCGCCAAAATGCAAGGAATGTAAACTTGTGTATATAAGTGGGTGCTTTGAGTTTTCAATAAAGTCATCTGTTATAGTGTACACCAGTTCGTCTCTTGTTTCCACCTGTAAACAATGCAGGTTTCGTCTATCAGGGGTTGTTATGGATGGATGGTTCGTCAGGTTGAATATACGGGAAGTGGTTGTAACGGGGAATGGGTAACTCGCAAGGCAGTGAGTGGTACACTAGGATCGCTCGACACTTATACGCACAATTCAGGACACCAGTAATATAGTATAGCCGGATATTTATTACAACTACAATCATCACCATACGCCCCCGGTCCTCTTCTCCCTTAATACGCTAGAACCCCTCATTTTTATAAACAACAGTGTTAATCGTTCAACCAATAGTCTAAATACTTTGCATGCGTTGTCATGACGGCATGTGGACTCCGCCAGTGAGGGCGTCGCCCCATAGCATCGTCATGACAACATCAATGCAACTTGGTGACACACCCCTGAACCTTATCATAACAATTATACACAAATGTTGAAGATCCGGAAAGTTATGATAAATCATAACGGTCATATTTTTTTTATATATTTATTTGTCGTCACTGTATATATCACGGAACTAAATTCCATTTAGCAAAACATAATAGACACCGAACATTTGTTTTATGTCTAAATATTTTGCGAATAAAATATCCAAAATGCTGTCGCAGTTGTCCACGGAAGAATTATACACCAAATTCGGGACTGAAACTAATAAAAACGCTCTCTTCAGAATGAACGACCGCGTGATGGCAAAATAAAGGGGTCAGAGAAATACACACAGGCTGACAGGCAGTGAATTACATGCTATGCGTGGGCGCTATGCCGGTGAGCGAGGCGCTTATCTTTTGAATTTCTAATTTCAATTTTTATTTGACAATTCTCTCTGCTAATTTATATGACGTTATAGTCAAGCTGTGTTAATGAACACCTCTATACAAGAACCATCTGTCTATAGTGACCAATTTTGGGCAGTCTCTAACATATGGACACCCTGTGTTTAAAGACCACAATTTCAGCAATATTTTGCAGATTTGCCCTTGTTTAGAGACCAAAATAATATTTACGATATGTGTACCAAAGTTTTAATTTTCTCAAGCCAAATTTATTTGATTTTGATCAACTCAAATACAAGTTATATCATTGCAACAGTATCGTCTCATTATTTTTTGGACAAATATTATGTCAGATTTATGAGATGGCAAAATTAAAAATATAACCCAACCTCTATAGAAAGACCACCTGTCTATAAAGACAATTTAATGAAGTCCAATGGGTGGTCGCTATACACAGCTTTGATTGTATACCCAAACCACGTATATCTAAGGCTTGCTATGTCGAATAAAAAATTAAAAAGTTGAATATGGCGTAAATCTGTTACCCTCAATTCGAAATGTAAACGACTGGGTGTTTTGGCCAGAAGTGCGCCACCACCGCCAATATTTGGGGAAGTTGTCGGCTGCGCATGCGTCAGATGGCCATAGTGTGTCATTGTTTGCAAACAAGCGTCTACCCATGAGCCTTTGCGTTTTCAGCGTGTGTTATTATCATCGCTTGGTACTCAATTCCCGCGCGTGCGCAGGTGACGACCATCCCGCTTTAAAATGCCGAATAATGGCCATACTCGCGTGATTCCCATGTACGTGAGTTGGACCGGATCATACACACGTATAAACATGGAAGGTACTAACGTTAGTACCCGATTCACTGCACTAACTACATATTCCAATGGGACTTCTTACCTATAATTAGGACTGGGTATTATTAATTTCTGAGCCCTAGCCAGATTCACTGCACTAGTGTTTGTTACTTATAAAACTAATATCCCCGGTAATAAGGTATTACTATTCCCCTAGAACCTAAACTGACTCACTGCACTAACTATAAAAATAATAATAAGGTATTATTATTCCCTGAGAACCATAATAGCGCGGCAGGATAGTGAACACATCTTTCAGTTAATGATACAAGCACCAAACTTGACATGATTGGAGTTTAACTATATCTTTAACAAAAAAGCACGTTAGCAACGAAAAAAAATAAAATGGCGGCCATTTTCCAAGATGGCGAACTATGACCAGAGATACACGGATAAACTGAATCTCTCTTTAAGAATGGTACAAGCTATAACTCTTGCACTATCAAACCCCAAGCTATGCTTATATATTTTAAATCAATTTCATCAATTTAATTTTTAAGATTGGCGGCCATTTTCAAAAAATATGGCTGCTTTGGTCTATTTAAGTGTTTATAAATGGTTTTGCTTCTTGAATTCGGGTTAATTTTCTGCATGTGATGGTATTTGGTGAATCTTATGATTATAGAGAAAGTTTTTAGTATATAATATGAGATAATGTATTGTATTTATTTATATGTAATTACGTATATATGATTTAAGGAGTGATCGTCTAAGCACAACCAGGGCACTGACTCACTGCACATTTGTTACCTATGACTACAGTGTTCTCCCCAGGCTTCTGAAGCATTACATACCGTGATGCTGGGACACTCGCTCATGATGCTTGTCCTTTGTCTATGATGCCTGGTCACTCACCCGCTATGCTTATTGCTCTGTTCACAAGTGCCAGTCGAATCATGTACAAATTTAAAAGATTAACATGTATTGAAAGAACGGTAATCCCGAGGTTATTCGCAGTTTTTAATACTCAGTGATGACACTAATTACCAAAAATTTAAAAAAAAAACAATTGAAATTAATTCGTACTGGAAACAAACTGTAAAATAAATCAAAGCAAAAATTATTCAACTGCAGACGGGTTACCGAAGAAAACAAACAAACCCTGACCTCTGGAAATACCTCATTCATAGAGTGCCTTAGTAGCAAAAAACGCCGCCCTAAGGGGACATCACGAATGTTGTGATATCACGACCGATGCATGCTGGGTTACTAACAAGGAGGATTCCGATTGAGGTAACAAAGATGTCTGGGCAGAGTACATGTTATTCCACAATTTTAAAAATAACATCTCGTTGGCGATTTTGATGTAATGTCACAGATAATCGTCAATGATTGTATATTTTTACACCGAAATTACATACTGATGATAAGGACAGCAGCAGCGGTGATTACCCGTTCAATACAATAATCTTATTGTTCAGCTGACTTGGTTACGACTAGGTTCATATGAACTGACAGTGACATGGGCACTAAAACTGCTGTTCTATTTCAAACTTTATTTCACTTGATAAATACATAAAAAGTAAATGATATAAAATATGTCAGAATATCTCTTTTTTAATTAATTGTAGCTCAGACTAGTAATACAAGTCTGTAGATAGGTTGTTGTTTACACTAACACAGTTGCATTTTTATCGTATCACAATATTTATTTGGAAACTAATTCTTTTGCAAACAACATTATGCAAATTAGGTACTTTGTTGTGCTTGACATGGGTCTGGGGAGAACACTGAACTTGGACTGGGTTTTATTAATCTTAAGGCTCTGGTCTGACTCACTGCACTAACAACCAATAGGTAATTTCTTACCTATAACTAGGACTGGGTTTTATTAATCCCTGAAGCCTCTGCACTGATGACCAATGGGAACCTTGTTACTTATAAGTAGATCTAGGTATTATTATTAATTCCAAAGGACCTGACCTGACCCGACCTTACTCAGTCCACTAACTACCAAAGGGTCATGTGTTACCTATAACTAGGAGTGAGTATTATTATAATTAATCAATAAAAGAATGATCTATCAACTTCGGCCATAACACTGGTCATGGACGCCTTGAATCTAGAATGGGAAGTGGAACCCTTGGAAAGCGCATCTCCACATATAAACATGCTGACTATGTTGGGGGGGGGGGTCACTAGATTGCTTTCTAGACGGCCTAAGTGAAAGGTAAACCATGCACACATGTTGAAGGGCCTGGGAGCTATGATGTATAGTATTGAGTCTAATCCTATAGTTCTATTTGATGAATTGACAGTTTGGCACTGCAGCTGAAGAGTATGATGAAAAAGATGTGACGGGTCAAGGAAATGATAGTGTCTTTGGTCGTTTTCCTGGTAAAACAATTTTCACCAAGCCAAAAAAAGAAAATTAAGAGGTTAGAGGTTCTTTTTTTGATCTCTTATCTATAGTGTTTGCCATTGTGTAGGACATGAGAATTTCTATGGGTTCCATGTGGGAACTATTTGACCACTGGTCCTGCAAGGATCCCCTGCAGGAAATTTGAAGCGGGAGGGTCGTCACCTGCGCACGCGCGGGATTTCAGTCCCAAGCGACGTTAACACACACTAAAAACGCAAAGGCTCATGGGTAGACGCTTGTTTGTAAACAATGACACGCTATGATCGATCATCTGACGCATGCATGAGGTAACAAAGATGTCGGGGCATGTTAATATATCTGGAGTTTAGTTGGTTGCATATTTGTGTGCGTTGTGCTTTGTATTTGTAGTTTCTAAACAAACAATCCTTGTAATACAGTAGTTACAGGGCTGGTCCAAGATGATGGAAGATAGACTACTGAAGCTGATGGTGATAGCAGTCCTCTGCAATA